CTTCAGAGAATGCCAAGTGCAAACAGCTTTACAGAGGCCTTTGCGGACTGAATGGTCAGGACTTCCAATGAGAACAGGGGACTTTCTGAAGTTCTGCACTGATTTAATTTACTTCCTTGGGCTTCATTTGGGAAGACTGTTGAGCTGATGGAATGATTATGAAAATGCCAACCCAATAAGCACTTAATTTCTTCTCTAAAAATGATTGAAGTCTGATCTAGTTACATTTGATTGCAACCAGATCGTGTTCAATTTTATGTTGTGTTCCCTGGTGTGGCAATAAACTGGTCTTCATGTTTTCTGACCATAAACTTCAAAGAAAACATCTCAGCTGTGAGGAGATCTTCCTTCAAAACAGGAGCCCCAGCAGTGCTATCGGAACAGCAGTACAGGGAAAGGAGAAAGATTACAAGACTTGTAGATGGTATTGGAATTCCTGAAACTGTATTTTTTGAGACAATATTTTATTCATCGTCAAGGAGTCAGTCAATGACTGCTTCTTGCTTAAAGTTCAAACATGTTAATCTGAAGCTTGTATAAAAGCTTATTGAGAAAGATAGGCTTACTAATGGAATATAAAATAAGTGAAAAACAGCTATCTCCAGATGGTTTTTTGCTGCCTTTGTTGATGCTAAAAGTAAAATAAGTACATAATTTAAATGACTGTGCTGCTTGAATAGGTATTCCATGTGACATTACAAAATGCTGAGATGAAGTCAGTCAGTAGAGAATTCTGCCTGATCAAGATGCCAGTGCAATAGCTGATGTAGAATTTGGTGAAAATGCACCATAAATACAATATTAGATAATCCTGTTAAGGTATACTGAATAATTGGATCCAAGAATTTTTAGATGCTGGAAGGAAAGAAAAGCAATGTTACCTTTTTTTTGCAGAAACAATGAATATACACAAATGGTTTTTTGACAAACATAGTTAAGCACATCTTCAACAAACATGGCTAATCATTTAAGATGGATTTTTGGAATAGAAAACAGTATTATTTCAGGAAAAAATTTCATCCTATAACTTAAGAAACAAATTTCAAGAAGGCTTATGTGTAGACTACAAGAATAAAAGCAAGTAAGTGCTACAAACTTGCGTTTTTAAGAAGGAATCTTTATTTCATCATACTACGAACAAAGCAGGTGCCTGCTTCAAGTGTGGAAAAGTCACTAAACTAATGAGGTAAAAAGATTATTAGCTAGAATCATAACAAAACATGATGGGGAATGTCCATTTAAGAATCTTCCATGGTTTTGAAAGTCTAATTTTATGTGTTAATTTTACAAGTTTCATTATGTTGGGATAGGCAAGTCTGAAAACTCTTCACGTAAATAAAATGCGGAGTGTTTCAGCAGACTGAAACTGAACTGAACTTGTGAAATTAGGGTTCTTTGAAAAGGTGCAGTGTATTAATGGACTTTGTTCCATAGCTTAAAAAGAAAATCTAACGAGATTATAGATATGTGTATACTCACGCTTTAAGTAAAGCAATAAAATGTTAATATTGCCTTATTGAAATAGTGACAGCTAAACTGTCAGGAGCAGGAAGATACTCTTGGTGTTAAATAAAGGACATTCATTCTGGCAGGTGAAGTTGGATGAATCATCCTAGATTTGGACATACAAATTTAAACAAATGACATTTCGTGTTAGTTTTACTCCTAGGATACTTCAAAGCGATTTCACTGATCCTTGGTGGATTATGAAGTACAGAATTAGTAATGAATGTATGAGCTGGTCTAGGGCTCAAATTATGACATTTGCAGACAAGCTTTTGCAAAGCGAAACCTCTAATAATGAATTTAAGAATGAAAACTTAGCTTAACCTGACAAGTTCAGGAAATACATTTTAATTACTTGTTCCAAATATATCTGAATCCTAGCCACAATGCTTGTTTTGCAGCGTTCCATGGGATTAAGAGGATAACTGATAAACTTTTGTCAGACTCTATTCCGCGTTTGGGACTGACAATTTCTGCAGAGAAGTGCTGGAAGAAAACCTTCTGATTACTGAGAGGACACTTTGTCTTTAGGTGTTTCACTGGACCTTTTCCGTCTGTCCCTTTCATGACATTAAGCTATGTTACTGGTGATGTTCATGAAGATCAGACAGGATCCCTTACGCAGTGTCAGCAGTATTTTGATGATGGCAAGGTTTCTATGCAACAAACACGCAACCGTTTACTGTAAAGACGCATGTGCTCTGTGTGTGTGCATGGAAACTGTGCTCACAAGCTGCTTCCAAGTGTGTGGAACTAGATGATGTGTAATGTTGAACCTGTGAAGATAGCAATCTGACATGGAATGCAAATTCGGAAGAGACTTTCAAAAAATGTGTACTCATAGTAGGACAGTCTTAATAGGTTGATAGCACTTGAAATCACTGTGATACAAAAAAATTCCAATCTTGAGCCTACTTTGGGACTGTTACAGTTTCTAGCTGAAATTAAGAGCTTTTCTAAGCTGCATTCAGTTTTTTCAAGGATTAACTTGATTGAGGAAAAAAATGCCAAACCTATACATACATATTTTAATCCTGAGGTGAATTTCATTGCTGCAGTTAAAAGCAAACACACGCTTTTTGCTCCCAGACTGTTCCCCATCCTCGAGGATCTGATTGCCAGGACACAGAACTTGCAAAAGGAACAAAATTCAGTCAAATCTAACAAGAATGATCCATACCTAAGCCAGTATCTCAAAGGACTAGCACCTTCCAGAGTGTAGATAAAACCTCCTCTGCTGACAGGTGAATCTAATGATACTATGTTAAGAGTAAGATGAAAAGAAATGGAACTGTCCCATGGCAGATGAACCATGCCTTGGCAGTGAGGACCGATACTTGTAGTAGAAACCAAAATTGCGTGCAGGAATGTGCAAGTACTACCTAATCATAATAGCATTTGCTTCTTTCCCTGCTTGCCTCGTATTTTGTGAGGGGAAAGTCTGAATCGATGGACTAAATCTCAGCTCTCATGAAGAGTTTCAAAAAGAATGCTCCCCAGCAAAGTGTTGCAGGCTTTTTTAATTTCTGGCCCCCCCCACCCTCCCCCCCCCCCCCCCCCCTTTTATTTTTTTGAGTAAGTAAGGGAGAAAGCTAACTGCTTATGCCCCAGAAGAAAGGCCTGGAGTGGGACAAACGAGGCTGATGTTCTTCCTGTCTCTACCCCCTCGCCACCTTGGGAATACTGTAAATGCTTGATCAAATTATGTCTGATGCTGTGCTGTTTTCTGAGTGTATTTAGAAACACAGGACAACTGATGAGGTTTTTCACATCAGTATGTTTCTTTATCCCTTTTTAGAAGTATTGGGTTTTTTTTATCTGGTGAGTCTGTGAGAGTTTGACATTGGATGACTTTATAAAACATTCTACTAATTGGATTTGTTAAAATAAATAAATCAAACACTAATTGGAACGTGCCCTGCCATTATTTTTGCTTACTGAATTAGATATAATGGCGTGAAGTTCTTTTTATCATATTTGTGCACTTATTTAAACACCCCCCTGGCGCACACTTCTGCAAATTCAATTATATATTCAAAGGAGGCATTCAATTTATGCAAGGCTGGTTTACATTTAATCCGGGGGCAAGTCTCGGCAACTGATGATAGGTCTGCTCAAGATTAATTAGCATCACTCAGATGAGCAGTGGCAGTGTTACAAGCCTGCAGTGTAAAACAAGGGATATTTTATCCTTCCTATGTGAGCCATTATTTTCTTCAGTATGACCCTTTACAGGAAGGGAAAAGCTTCTTGTTCGGGTTTCATTCTGTAAAAAGGGGGTCAACACCATGTGCATTATCTAACAATATCAGTGTCATCTCCCTGTCCTTTTCTTCTGCCCCACTTCGCAATTGAATTTGTCCATGTTTAGTTTTCAACCAGCCAGGGAAAAGACTCCAAGATCCCGGTTTGCTTCCTACAAGTCCTCATTCTTGTTACCAATTTATGAAGACATAGAACGCTATTTTGGTGAATGTGTAAATGTTTTCATTTTGCTCAAACAGCTTTGTGATACTGTGGCTAAAATTATAACGTGCAAACCTGGCATCTAAATTCATGGAGTGGTATCTTTGGCTTTCAGCTTGAGGATTGTTTTGTCTGGGTTAATGAATAGCCCTGTCCTGCCAAGCAGTTATGTTTCAGTGATGGGTAATTTTGTATTAGGACGAATCTAACCCTTTTTCCCCCCTGCTCTTTATGTTTCAGCTTGTTTAGGTGTAGCTCATATTTAGGTATCTACATAGGTGATGTCTTGGGAAATGATGAATATTATGCTTATGCTGACATCAGTGAAAATAGCGAATTCCAATTCTGTTGCTTCTAGTAAATTAATCCTTCTGCTTTATTGCCCTGTCACTCTGCATTTGGAGGTTTCTCCGCTGGCCTTTTCTTGCTTTAAAATGTAGGTGCCTCGCTGGTACTTTGAAGACTCTTCATGGTTTGTCCTTTCCTTTCTTATCCGCTTGTACTACAAGCTCAGCTTTGACTCTCAGACAAGGCGCTTTAAAGCTTCCTGAGGTGTTGTCTCTTATCAGCAGAAACACCCAATTAATTTCCAAAACTTCTCACCGTACCCCCTTCTCAGCTCATTCTCCAGCTTCCCCTACCTCAGCATGTCTAAAATAACTTTAGCCGATTATAGCAAGATCGTGACAGTTACATTACCTGTGAAATGAGGACTGCTGCCCCATATTTTGTTGCTTGTTTTGCTTCTGGGACTGTGTAGCAGCACCTGCACAACCTTCTGTGCGTACACGAGGCCTCGGATGGTTGTCTGGCTCGATCAGAGGAGTTGTTTACAATCCCTTTGAAGTCATAGCTCGGAGCCAGCACCGCCATCGTGCGCTGCAGTGTGCTGAGCAGAGGTGGTGTGGAAAGGGTGTATGTTTGAAGTTGTGCTATTGGAGTGGATCTACCAAAATTACAATGCCCCGCTCGGAGACGGAGAGCAGAGCATTTGAGACCATCTCTCATACCCACTTGCTGTGAAAAAGATGACTTTTGGTAGCGTTGCGTACTCCCACACAATCCAGAACTCCTCTATTTTCTCTTAGACATTTTAATGGGCATGTTTAATGTTTTAAATTTGAACTTTTTCACCTAACGTAAATTTTTAAAATTAGTGGAACATTTTAAGTGTAATCCTGCTCATTTTGACATTTGGGAAAGCTTCACAAGTACCATAAATTTAAAGGAAGAATTAATAAAATATTGTAAAATAATGACACTTCAGAAATATTTGCAGAGCCTAGTGACAGGCAGGCAAGCATGCAAGGGTCTAAAATCTGCTATAGTCAGATCTATTTGTAATGAAAATATACAATATATCAAAATATAATTTTTTTTTAGGACAAACTTGATCTTTAAGCTTTTCTTTAGCAACAGAGTATTTTGGGGTGCCAGGTACTCTACTCAGAAAATCCTTCTAGTATATACTTAAATATAAATGATATGTGAAGTTTTGTAGAACAACTTCAAAAACCAGTTGCAGTTGGAGTGCACGTAAAGTCCTTTAACTGAATAAGGATTTAACAAATATTAATAACATGGTATGTATTTGTGTTTGTTATCTATGAGGAATTTCGTAGGAATTGAGACAAGTTTGGACCTTCTCAGGAGTGAGAGGATGGAAAGTGTAGATGAAAACTAAAGAAGGCCTCAGTGTCCCCAGTGCTGGATAAGCCTTATTGCAGAACCACCACAGATCGCTCACGTACCAGCTGTTTATTGTGTGTGCATGTAGGCAACGTAGCCTGTGGGAAGGAGTAAAGAGTCAGGAACATCTCTGTGCATATAACTCTCCGATTAGTGTCAAGAGCAATTGGCAGTTTGGCTGGCAGAGCAAGTTAGCGTTGCCTTGAGCATTGCTCGGTCCTCGCAGCTCTGAAGTGCTAGATGCGTCCGGTTGACTTTGGAGGACTACTATCTGCAGAGAAAAATTATCCTTGCTTCCCTAAGAGAGGAAACCAAAGCAGTACAGAGACACTGTTGGCGTGCTTAAAGTAGAACTCAGAGACCTAGGCTGCCTGATCTGACGGATCCAGTACTGAAATATGTCTGGCAGACGAAGTTGGGTGGATGTGAACAGGAACTTGCCTCAGGTAATGTAAGGGACACGAGCGTAGGAATATCCTACCAGGGAATAAATCAGCTTGATTTGTCTGAGTGACACAAGTTTTGAAATCTTATGCTAGCATATAAACTTTCATTCTACTGTTCATGGGTTTCCCTTGATTCGGAAGTGTTCAGGCAGTTGCCAGGTTATTTAGGTAGTAAGCTACTTCCAAGTATTTCAGGAATTGCAGTAAGAAGGATCACTTAGCAGTCTGGAAGGTGTGAATGCTAGTTGCCATCTGCTTCTTGTTATTCTCTTGTTGTCGAGAAACTAAAGGGTTGCACTCCAAAGTATTGACTCGAAAGACCTTGAGGAGTGGTCATGTGTCACATGGAGCTTCGTGTTGTTATGCTTAAGAGACGGTTAAAAGGAGTGTCCTGCTTTCCATAGGTGTAACCCAGCCTTGTGTAGTTTCAAGGCTTGAAAGAGAAAAGAAGTGAGGATTCACTGCAGGAACAGTGATGCTGTGCTTGTTTTTACTACTTGTGTTCCTTCTTCCTCTCTTTTTGTTTGTTTTGTGTGAATATCTGACTTGGAAGTTTGTGTAACTAACGATCAGTTACTGGCACCCAAACACAAATATTTTTGCACATGTGCATCATGTGCAATTGACCCTGAAACTGTAAAGGCAGTAGGTTGAAATAAAGGGAACTGATCTAACAGTAGTGTGGAGGGAAGAAAACAAAGGCTTCCAAAACATGCAAAGGCTGGAAAATTAAAAAATATTTTTAAATATTTTTAAAACCTGGTCTAGTGGAAGATGTCTCTGCTCGTGGCAGGGGGGTTGGAACGAGATGATCTTTAAGGTCCCTTCCAACCCAAACCATTCTATGATTCTATGTTTTTCTGGATAACGTGTTTGCTGCCTGCAATCTAATATGGAGGAAATTAATTTTTTCTTCCTTCCCCCCCGTGTAAACTTGGTTATGAAATATTAAAGTAAATGCACTACCATATAGAGATATAATTAATACAGGAATGTATTCATTTTTCTTGTTTTTAGGTGGTTGTTCGTTTGATGAGCACTACAGTAATTGTGGTTATAGTGTGGCCTTGGGAACCAATGGATTTACCTGGGAGCAGATCAATACCTGGGAAAAGCCAACGATGGATCCTGCTGTCCCAACTGGTAAGTAAGAAGCCTCAGCAACACGGGGGGAAGCATTATTCTGTGAGAAAATCAGCTGTTCTGTATGGGTGTGTAGTGGGTCTGAGTACCTACAACAGTGGGGTAGGATTTTATTCTGTGATAAAGAGATTACTTCAGTGTTCAAAATAACTCGACAACAGAATTAGTGTGAGGTGGCTTTTTACATTTACCATTTCATATCCTTGCTGAATCATTCTACACTCCTTATTCCTATTTTATTTCTGCATTTAACAGAGAGAAACAGTTTCAGATACAACATTCCAATGTTTGGCCAGCTTTTTGCATGTTTCAGTGTCAGAGAACTGTCTTATCTGAGGGGATGCTTGTCTGAGAGGCCAGAAAAAGTGAAGCTTTGTAATGTCTGGGAATATTGGACCTTCCAGTTACCGTTTAACTCTTAATTGACTGCTTTTAATTCTAATTCTGAGAAAGACAAAAAAATTCCTAGGGAATTAACTGTAGTAGCTAGTGCTTGATTAGGCTGGGATTTCAGACAGTGAAATTTTTATGTGTATGAAAAACATTTCCAACGGAGAGAGTCACCAGAGTATCTAATTTACAAACATATATTGAGAACGTACAGTAATAACATAGTCTGCCACGTGGTACTTGGAACAGTCTCTGAAGAGCTCACAGTAGTGGTAATTTCCAAGAGTTTCGTTTCTCACTAAAAATTGACATTATGTTGTGTATGGGTGTATATGGGAGTGAGTTGTCTGGCCTCAACAGAAGGGCTGTGAAATGCTTTGCTGCATTGGAAAGGAACTTGTTTTAAGCAAGCACTCTAAAATTTTTGAAAAATGACAGTTTGTCCCTGTTCCTTGCCATCTGAAATAGCAGTGCAAGCCCCTTTAAAGCAGTGGGCACAATGGCAAACGGAACTGACCAGCCAGTTAAGGCTTTGATTTCAGTCTGAAGAAAGAAATATTTGTTCTGGTTAGTGCCTGGCACTGAGAAGCACGAGTTACATGGCAGAACCAGAATATAGTGTTGCTGAAGAGATTTTCTTCTGCCTGTAATTATTGGGGTAAGAGACTTGTAATTGCTAGCTGCCTGTTAAGGACACCATGTAGAGCTGATACAAAAATAACTCCCTGACGCAGCCATTGGTAGACAGCCCAGTCTTCATCACTGTGTGTTAACTGTCAATAGAAAAAAAAAAAAACCCATAAAAAATACTAGCCTAGCTGTGGTTTCTCCATCACTGAAGGCTGATTAAGTTGATGTTTTTGTTTTGTTATAGTTTAGGTTGGGAATTGTTTGGTGCAAGATCTTTCAAAGTGTGCAACGCCTTGTACCACTCTACTGTGGCATCCCTAAAGAAGTTAATTGTGAAAGCGGCAGTTTTTTGGTCTTGTCTGTAAGAATGTATTTCATCATTCTGGACATGATAAAGAAATATTTTCTAAAGAGTTTTTAGGGAGCATAAGGGGAAATGACTCGGTTCCTTATGTTACTAATTGGTGTCTCAGGACTATTTGCACAGAACAGAGGGTGAAATTGGTAGGTAGAAAAAGATCGACCACAGCAAATGTGTACAGAAGGCTCTAGTAACAAAAACATGTTTTCAAGAGCTGTCCAAATCATGCTAAACTTGAAGTAAATTATAGTGGTCAATTAGACTGCCCGAAGCTAGCGGAGATGTTAGAGCTATTATTGGGAGTCTGTATTGCTGGATAGAATTGTAATGCATTTTGTTTGTATTGGTTACTCACTGAAAATCTGTTTTGTGAGAATAAAAGATGTTTACTTAAAATTCATCTAGTGGCAAAGCCAGGCGAATAAACCGATGAACAGCACGTTCCACTCCTACAAGCAGGGACATCTTTAAAACTAGAGTGCTAGAACATTTGGTGATTGACTTTCTATTCCATTTAATTTCTCCACAGCAGCTGCAAGCAGCAGGGTGTAAATCCACTGAGCTGCAGGGTGTAAGAGGTGGTAACAAAGGGGTGTTCATGGAATAAGCATCTTCTGGTGGCCAGCCGTAGCCAGGAAAGCTCCTTAGCATGAAGAGTGGTCACAGGAGCGCCAGAATGCATGGGGTTCTGAGAACGCAAGCAGTAATGCAAATTTTCTTTATCAGAATGATATTTTAGACGCTACCTTTATTTTTGTAACTGGAAATAGATTAAAATACCGTATCGTGGAAACGGTAGAAACAGAAAGCAAGCAGGCGTTAGCTTGGTTCCATGGTAGTGAGTAAGTCTGCAGTGCAGCGTGCTGGGAGACGTTGGTAGAAAGCATGGCCTGCCCCCAGCCTGGCCAGCCAGCCTGCGTTCGCATAGCCCTCAGAGCCTTTTTCTTCTGTAAAACGTATCAGCTTTCGTAAGTACCAGCAGGTCCTTTTGAATTCAACCAAGCCACAGAATTCTGTTCTCCTGAATACTAATGATAATATCTAGCACTTTTTACAGTACTTTTCATCGTTAGATCTCAGAGTGCTCTTCAAAGGAGGTCAGTACCACGAGTGAGAGCCTGAGCCTGTAGTGCTGTGTAATTCTCTGCTGACACACTGCTGCAAAGGTCTCTGCTCAGGGGTGACTTCTTATTCTTTATTTTTTGAATTAATATGTTAAAAAAAGGGGGAATTAAACTGCTCCATTAGAAATGTAGAAGTTTGCAGGCAATTTGTTTTACTCCATTGATAGCAAATAAACTGTTTTCCATGAATTCTATGATTAACTCCTTAGGGCTGGAAGCAGTGTTAACTGGGGGATTAAGAACCAGATGTTTGTTCTTTTGAATAAGTGTTTCAAAAACGTGGAAGAAATGAATTGTAGGTATGCAGTCCCCAGACTTTGGCAGGACTCTTGTTCCACCTCCTTGCATAATAGCAGGAGTGATAATAACAAAATATTTTTTAACAGATGGATGTTTACTTAAGCCTGAATACCCTCAGCGATGAGTATTCTACAGCCTTTGGGCTGCTTGTTCCACTCTGAGTTATAAAGGTTCTTAGTCCTTAATTTTCCTTTTTATGGCTTCATCTCATTATTTTTTGTTCCATCTTTGACTCGGGAGAATGATCAGCTGTTATTCTCTTTTATAACCTCTTTTATATAGTTGCACGCAGTGAAGTCTTTGTTTTGGAGGGCTAAACGTGACCCAGTCCTTTCAGCCTTCTGTAATTCAGTGTCTCATTTTCTTCCCTCTCCCCTATGCCTTCAATCATTGTTTTCTTATGTTTTCTGGGTATTTGCCTATGGCTGTGTTACCAAGCAGGGGTTCAATACTCTGCTTGACAGCGCTGGCAGGCCACAACACTTTAATTCTGTTATAGAAGTTCAAAGTACAGCAAGTAGGTTTCTCCTGCTTCTCTTTATTTCCATCTTGCAGTTTTCATTCCCCTTTTTCTGTAAATACTAAGTCTTTATGTGCTGGTATTAGATGGTGTGAGGTGGACATGGCACATTAGTTTGTGTTGGATGACAGAACTCCTTTCCTTGGTGGTGAAGTAGGGCCTGAGCTTGTCTGTGGTTTTGAGGTAGATACTTGATTAGTACAAGAAGGAAATGTGTTGTATTTAAACTGGCCAGGCAAAAGTACAGGCATTATTTTTTCTTATTACAACACGGCAGTATTCCAAGGACTGTGAACCTGCCTGCTCTTGCAGCAGTTTCAAGAATAATATTAATAATAAAAGTATTTAACATTTACATGTTCAAAGTATTTTACCATCATTTGCTAATTAACTTCAATGGAGGTTTAACCAAGGCGGACTAGTCTGAAGTAGTTACTTTAATTGTATTAAATATGATTCTAGTCTGAATATAAAGCCATTCTACCTCGTGCCTTTCTACAGCGGCGTTCCTTGGTGTTAGCTTCACTGTTAATCTCCAATTTGCTTTTGTGAAGTTTCCTGGTTCCAAGTTAGCAGATAAGAAATCGGCACACAGAGGCTGAAGATCTGGCCCCCTCTGCCTGATTGCTTGCTTCCCTTCACATATGTATACAGATACATAGATACGTCTTTACGTGCATGCTACATATGACTGCTGTTTCTTGCTGACTTGCTTTCTAAGTAGACATCCTATTTGTCTGAGAAACAGAAGTTTAGATAATAAGAATTTAAGGATGAGCAAAACGTTTGAAACAAACCATAGTATTCAGAATTAGAGTTACAACACTTTATGGTAGTTAGAAAGTGCAAATTGTTTTTTGTGATAGAAATGGATGCATTTTTATCTTTCTAAGAGCCAAGCTTGCTTGCGATGTCTAACTCATGATTTGGAAGGTGCAAAGTATTTGTGGAAGATGACACTGACACATAGTTTTGTGGATTTTTGTGTGTGTATTTCTGTAAAGCTTATCAAGTAGTGTTGCATCTGTGGCTCCGAGGTGCACAAGTAGTGTCTTTGTGCTTTCTATGTTTACAAGTGAGCTAAAGGATTGGACCTGAGTTATGGTGCTTCAGCAGACTATGACAGGTTAGTTCCAAACTACTGCTAACTACACCAGCAGTGTTTACGGCAGTCGCAGGACTTGACAGGTCTGGTTCACCCTTCAGAGATGCAGTCAGCATTTGCTCTATAATCTTCCCTCCTGACCATGGAGGAGGAGCATGTGCTGAATCCTCTTAGTGGTGGGTATTTTGAGACAACAGTTGGCAAGATTAAGGCACGGACGGGTTCTGAGGGCTTACTTATGTGAGTCTGCATTGCGTGGCCCACTGAAGTGAATGCAACTCATCACTTCCCTTGAATGCATTGCAGCACCTCGCTGAGAATTTGTAGCAGAATTTCTTTCTTTTCTCTTGCAGCAGAGAGAAGGGATACTCTTCCTGTACCTAATTGGGTGTGTTCTTTTGTTCCAGTAACTGGAGGGCTCTCTGAGCTTCTCACTGAAACAACAGAAGGGTGATCATCATTAGTGTTGCTTCGTGAACTACTCATTTAGCGGGCGAACATGATAGACTGATGTATATGTGAATACCAGATGGCTAAATTCTACTTGGACGCCACTGAACGGAGTGAAGT